AAAGGTGTCCAAACAGGGTTAGCCCCAATAACCTCAGGGCAGGTGTCAGGGTTGCCATTCCCCTGACGGGGGTGGGGGTCTGCCCCACTTTTGAGGCCCCCAATCCACTGGCAGAGGAACCCCACCCCCAAAGTGCCCTGTTCACACCAACATGCCCGTCACCCCTGGGTGACGTCATAACGCAGGACGCTCTGCCGTTTGAGGGGAAAAAACCTCTACGGTTACCTCTTCTCCAGACTAAACATCCCCAAGTCCCTCAGCCTTTCCTCGTCGGTCTTGGTCTCCAGCCCCCCCCCCGCTCATCCTTGTTTCTCCCCTCGCTCTGTTTTGTCCACACCCTTTTTCGAGGGGTCCATCACTGCGACAACGAGTCCAAGAAATGAAATATTTTCAAAACTTCTACCTCCCCCCCCTTTGCCAAAAGTTACCAAAGAATTATTATCAATTGCATTACTGGCAGTAAGTAATAGCACATCTTGGGGAGGGGGGGAGATGCCAGTTGCTTTTGGGACATTCATAGCCCCATTGCCAAAATAAGTCTTTACTCTTTACAGGGCTCTTTTTGTAGAAAAAGCCCAGCAGGAACTAATTAGCATACTAGGCCACACCCAACACCAGGAACTCATTAGCATATTAGGCCACACCCCTGACAGCACAGCTCATTAGCACATTAGGCCGCACCCCCATGTTACCAGAAGTGTGCTCATCCAGCCACACCCACCTTTTGCTTCTTCTTCTGTTTACCTTATTTGTTGTCAAAACCCAGGGCTTTTTTTGTAGCAGGAACTCCTTTGCATGTTAGGCCACACCCCCCTAATGTAGCCAATCCTAATGAGTTTCTGCTGTTGGGTGTGGCCTATTATGCTAATGAGCTCCTGCTGGGCGTGGCCAACTTGGGAGCCAGCCAGAACTCCGTTCCTGTGCGTTCCTGCCCCAAAATAGCCCTGCTCTTTAAGATGCTGACTTCCCCCTCCCCAATATACTATCACAGCACTATCCCAGTGTCTGGATGTGGTAGTCCAGTGGTTAAGGGGGAGCTGGCTGAAGTCGAATCCATCCAAGACGGAGGCCATGTCGCTGGGAAAGACTGAAGTGCTCGTGGGGAGGTCACTCCTAAGCCTCGATAGTGTCCCGTTGACAGCTGTATGCTCTCTAAAGCGTCTCGGGGTGTGGTCGGATTCTGCGCTATCATCAGATAAACAAGTGTCCATGGTAGCATGGTCAGCATTTTTTTCCCCACCTGCGCCAGGCCCGCCAGCTGGCTCCTTACTGGTTTGGGTCAGACCTTTGCCATGTTGATCCACGCAACCGTCACCTCCAGACTGGACTACTGCAATTCGCTCTACATAGGGCTACCCTTGGAAACGCTTCGGAGACTTCAAGCGGTCCAGAATGCAGCTGGCAGGTGGATGACTGGAACATCATGGTCAGCTCGTATTACTCTAATTCTGCGGCAGCTGCACTGGCTGTCAATTAGTCTCTGGATCCAATTCAAGGTGCTGGTGTTAACCTTCAAAGCCCTTAATGATCTGGGATCGTCATACCTATGAAACCGCCTCTCCCATTGCAACCCCCCCTGTGCTCCCTTCGGTCATTGTCTAGGGGCCTCTTGCAGGTGCCTGGCCCCAGGATGGCTGGGTTAGCTGTCACCAGGGGAACGGCCTTCCCCGTTGTGGCCCCCTACCCTGTGGAATGCACTCTCAGATGACACCTGTGCCCTGCCAGACTTGTTTCATTTCTGCAGGGCATGCAAAGCTGAATTATTCAGGTTGGCCTTTGGAGGGTAACCACATGTTTGGGCTGTTTTAATAGTGGCATGGTGACAGTCGTGTATTTTAATATTTTAATGTTAATATTCAATATTTGTTTTTTATGTTGTTTTGACCTTATTGGTTTTCATGTTGCAAATTGCCACAAGACCCTTTGGGTGAGTGGCGACTGATTTTTTTTTTTAAATCTAATAAATAAATAAACTTTATGGTTCAGTTAGCAAGGCATGTCCAGCAGGTTGTTGTTTCTTTACAGTGATCTGGCTAGTGCCCCCTACAGGTGGATGACCTTGGCTCCATGCCGCAGATCTGAGACCTCCCAATCTCAGGCTGGGTTTCATAAAACTCTTTTAGGATTTGTGTTCCTGACCTGCCAGATAATTCCTGGTTTACATTGTCAATAGCTAAGCTATTTGAATAACTCAGGTCTTAGTAACATCAAGGAAGCTGTGTTAGAGAAAGCTTGGTCCAAAAAGTTACAGTGAATGCACGCACCCAGGGGTCATTTCCTGCAGGAGCGCACAGGAGCGGAGCTCCGGCAGTAAAGAGCCCAGGGGGCGGGCACATGCAACAAGCCCCACCCCCTGCTCCCAGCAGCCCTCAGTCAGAGCAAGAAGCAGCCAGGTAAGTTCCAGAGCCCCCCCCCCGGCCCAAAACAGTCCAGTGGCACCTTTAAGACCAAGTTTTATTCAGGTACAAGCTCTCCCTCCTGCACCTCTTTTTCTCCAAAATGACCCCTGCACGCACCATCCATGTACAGTGTACGCCTGACTCTTCTTTATATAGGAGTTGCCTAATTCTCATTATATTTAACACCCGTACAGCTGATCGTGCAAATTAAACCTCCAGGTACTGGTCCCTGGTTTCATTTGGAACGTGAATGCGCGTTCCCTCCTTCTTACAAACAGGTGCACACACATACATGCAGGTTGTATGCATGTTCACCATATCATGTGAACAGGGTTGAAGTCACCCTATTTAGAATTCTCGCTCAGATGGACATAGGAGTGGTTCTAAACAACGCCCTTTTCTTTGAGGTATTGTTCTTATGAGCAAAACGGCAGACAACAGTGAGTACAGAAACCCCCTGATGGTCAGTTCTCACAGGAAAAAAACCAGAATTTTCTGGAAGGATCGTTTTGTTGACTGCTGATGTGCAAAACCTTCCCCACTTGTTATTTCCCCATTGCCTCACACTCCATTCGGGGAGAAATTGCTCAAGTGGAGGCAAGCGGCGTTGTGATAGAAACAGCCAGAGAGAAGAGGCCAAAACGCTCTCTCGTCTCCATATTAAAATATCTCGGATTTTCGTTATTGAGGCAAAAACAGCCCTCAAGTCTTCTTTACAAATTCTTGAGTAATGCACGGCAGGCCTGCCCTTAGAAGTCTTCTCTGCCTCTAAGCTTTTGATATAAGGGGGGTCTGGTTGAATAGAGAGGCTACAGTAAAGAGTTGAGTTCTGGGGTCTGTTCTTGGGTTGGGCCAAAGCTGACCCAGTTTCTGCCACTCAACTGAGTAGACCAAAAACAAACAAACAGACCCAAAAGGATGAACTTCGACCAAGAGGACTGACATCGGGGATGGCCTTTCTTTGCTGGCACTCTGTCATCTAAGTCCCCATTCAGTTGGGAGAACTTGGCCTCACACCCATTTCCCCCAGTGTGGTTTTGTGGTAAAATTCTCTCCAACTGCTTCCACATTGCAGCCTGAGTCAATTGGGGCGGGGGGGGGAATCACCCTTCAGTTTTCGGTCTTCCTTTAAGGAGCTCCAGGTCACGAATGTGCGTGTACTCCCATTCTATCCTCACAATGACCCTGTGAGGTAGGCTAAGCAGAAAAATCATGAACTGCTCAAGGCCACAATCCTCAGTGGAGATTTGAACCAGGTTTTGCTGGTCCAACTCCATCAGCCTTGGAAGTCGATCCTTCACTTCTAATTAGGGACTTCTCCTGTCCCATGTTGCAGGGGGAAAAAGGGAGACTACCATGTTGAAAGGCACCGGATCACATGCTCCTTCACCCATTAGCTATAATTTAGGCAAAGGTAAAGGTTTCCCTTGCTCGAAAGCCAGTCGAGTCCGACTCTAGAGTCGCAGTGCTCATCTCCTTTCCAAGCCGAAGAGCCAGCGTTGTCCGAAGACTTCTCCGTGGTCATGTGGCCGGCATGACTAGATGCCGAGGTGCATGGAACGCTGTTACCTTCCCACCAAAGTGGTACCGATTTATATCCTTGCAATTTCTTGCTTTCGAACTGCTAGGTTGGTAGGAACTGGGACCAGAGATGTCACGCGGCACTCGGGTCTCGAACTGCTGAACTACCGACCTTCCAGTCGGCAGTTCAGCGTCTTAACCACTTGAGCCACCACAACCCCATGGCTATAATTTACACTTATGTGTATACACTGGCCACACACATTCCAATCCCCCTCACCTCAACTCAGTGTTCCATAATATGGAAATTACAGGCATTCTGCTCCTTGTGCTGGACATGCTGTGGTTATTTTTAATTCCTCTAGTGGCCCACCACAATCCACTTCTTTTATACATGATGAATTAGTGTCTTTCCCAAAATCCAGGACAACTGAAGATGACCATCACCACAGGGGGGTATTCAGCATCACAGTTAATCAGGCTGTGGAAGGTCAGTAGTTCAGCAGTTCGAGACCCGGGTGTGCCGCATGATGGAGTGAGCTCCCATCTCTAGTCCCAGCTCCTGCCAACCTAGCAGTTCGAAAGCAAGAAATTGCAAGTAGATAAATAGGGACCACTTCGGTGGGAAGGTAACAGCGCTCCGTGCGCCTCGGTGTTTAGTCATGCCGGCCACATGACCACGGAGACGTCTTTGGACAGCGCTGGCTCTTCGGCTTGGAAACGGAGAGGAGCACCGCAACCCTCGAGTCGGACTCGACTGGCTTTCGAGCAAGGGAGACCTTTACCTTTACCTATGACTGAGGAGTCATCAGTCTCACACATCTAGGATGGTCCTCAAGAGCCCGCGACCCTCCCACCTCTTACCTTTTGAGGAGAACATGAGTGCCCCCAGAAGGACACAAGCTTGGAACAGAAAGTGGGACCCCATCGCTGCGCTTTGGCTCCTTTCCACCCTCTCTTGCGTGCGTCCGGCTGCTGTCAGTGTCTGGAAGATGAAGCTAAGAGACTAAATATGAGTAGGCAGCTGGGGCGGGGTATATCGCAGCCTCTTCTATGGGCCACGCCTCCTTGAGCTTCGTAGCTCAGCACTTGGAAGCCAGCCCAGAAGAGGGTTCCCCCCCCCAATGTTTCTTCTACCTCACCGAGTCCATCACTTCCCTTCCTCAGCAATTTGGAGCTCGTTATTTGGGGCGGCACCTCTTTCAGGAACTCGAATAGCCAGTTGGGGATATTTCCCCCACATACACACACACACACAAATACACACTGACGCCGTTCACCCAAAGCTTCAAGGGTGGGGGAAGATAATTATGGGCGCGTCTGGGAAGAAAGTGGGGCTTGGAAACTGCAGTTTTCTCTTTTTTTATGCATAGATTTTTATTAAGTTTTTAGGATACACAAGGATGGGGAAGGGGAAAGGGGAGGGGAAAAATAGAAGTACTAATTTTCTGCATGTAACTCTCCTCTCCTTGTAATTTCAGATTATGCAGAGATAGAGTGCGAGGTTTAAGAGTTCACAAAAGCTTCTTAATATTATGATATTAGGAAGTTCATCTCTTTATACTTCTCTCTTACCCAGTTATAAAATGGATCCTGTGTAATCCGACAAAGGCTTCTTCCATTTGCCCTTTTAACATCAAAGTCAATTTGTCCATTTCTGCACTTTCCATGATCTTCCCTAATAGACCTTGTTCAGAAGGTATTGATGGAAGTTTCCAATAAGATGCAAATAGAATTCTAGCTGCAGTTACTACATGAATTATAAAATATCTTTGATTTTTTGTCAAAGTTCTCTGGTATACAATTCAATAAAAACAATTCTGGTCGAGAAGCTGCCGTTTTCTCAAAGGTTCGCCGTCGGAACATCCCAATAAGTTGGTGCCCACAAAGAGGGCCGATATATCGGATGTGGCAGGGTCCACGGTTGCTCCAGATTTGGATGGGAATTACTGCGTTGTGCTGAATCACCGGAAAACCTTGTCACTTTTGTTGAACAAAAGAGGATCGCACAGCAGCTAGTGTCTGGAAGACCCAGGTTCAAATCCTCACTTTTGCCGTGAAAGCTCAACTGGGTGAGCTTGGGCCAGTCACATTCTCTCAGCATGACCTACCTCACAGGGTTGTTGGGAGGATAAAATGGAGGGGAGGAGAATGAGGTAAATAAAAAGTGAAAACAAATTGGCAGTTTTGTCCTAATCTTCAACGGAAATCAAGGAATAATAATAAAATCAACTCCCCTTTCCCCCAGAATTCTCCAAGCTGAACCCCTTTTAATTTTTTTCTCTAAATGAAAAGCATCAGAATAGGGTTGCCAGCACCCAGGTGTGTCCTGGAGATCTCCCGCTTTTACAGCTAATCTCCAGTTGACAGAGATCAGCTCCCCTGGAGAAAATGGCTGCTTTGAAGGGTGGACTCTATGGCATTGTACCATGCCGAGGTCCTTCTCCTCCCCAAATCCCGCCCCCTCCTGGATCCACCCCCAAAGTCTCCAGGTATTTTCCAAACCCAGAGCTGGCAACCCTACATCAGAAACACAAAAAGGGAAGGAAACTGCTTAACTCTTTTCCTGTGAGTCACATTTCCCCCTGGAATAGTCCCTCCCCAGGGATATTTTGCACCAGACAGTGAACACGGTACAGAGACCCATAATCTGCAAGGAGAGAAAAGAACCCAGTGGGCAGATATCTGAGAGAGAAATTGGTGGTGGAAAATGCCATCAAGCTACAGCTGAATTATGGCGACCCTGTAGGGCAGTGGTGGCGAACCTATGGCACGGGTGCCAGAGGTGGCACTCAGAGCCCTCTCTGTGGGCACGCGTGCCATCGCCCCAGCCAGGCCCAGACCATCATTAAAGTGTTGAATTCTCTGCCAAATAATTTTAAGTCAATGAAAGCATTTGGGATTGCTTTCCTTACTTTGTTTGGATCATCTTAAGTTAATGTATGAGTCGTTTTTTCTAAAGTAAAACCTCAGTATTCAGGTTAAATGGCCGTGTTGGCACTTTGCGATAAATAAGTGGGTTTTGGGTCGCAGTTTGGGCACTCGGTCTCTAAAAGGTTCGCCATCACTGCCGTAGGGTTTCCAAGGCAAGAGACATTCAGAGGTGGTTTGCCATTGGCTGCCTCCACATCACGCCCCTCCTATTCCTCAGGGGTCTCCATCCAAATACTAGCCAGGGCTGGCCTTGCTTAGCTTCCAAGATCTGACGAGATCGCACCAGCCTGTGTTATCCAGGTCAGGGCGAGAGTGAAATTAGCCAGCAGGGAATAGATGAAGGAATGAAGAATAGATTCCTTCCCGTCCCATGCGTCGCAACGTCCAGTGGGCCGCTTTTCCATTTAAAAACAAAGCTGGCGGAAAAGTTGTACGGAGCACTGCGTAATGTGTTGGCACGGAGCAGCTCTGCCAGTCGGACGCAAAGTGGTCTCAGCTCCACCCTGGCAGGAGGATACGTGCCACCTGGCTTGGAACGAAAGGCTTCCCTCCTGAGGCCCCGTACCCACTGTCGACCCCCAGGCTGTAGCAAATATTTAGGGCGAGCGCCTTCCATCATTAAATTTGCAAGGGAGCAAAGTGGTCTCAGCTCCACCCTGGCAGGAGGATACGTGCCACCTGGCTTGGAACGAAAGGCTTCCCTCCTGAGGCCCCGTACCCACTGTCGACCCCCAGGCTGTAGCAAATATTTAGGGCGAGCGCCTTC